ACGGTGCTCACCACTTTCATTATCGCGGCATTTCACTCTCGCACGCTGAGTGAAACGTGTACTTTCACTTCTGATTGTCTGATTTTAACGGTTGCCGACGAGTGGAGATGTATCCGGGCTGCCATCATGCGTCCACCCAAGACGCCTCTTCCAGTCCAGCTCGCGTGCTCTTCTTCTCCTTCTCATCTCCCTCCTCTTCCTTACCTCATCCCCCGCGTCTCGCCGTGCAACCATACCCTCGCAGTGCCAGCAGTGCATTGCCGACTGCCAGCTCGATCCGGCCAGCAGTGCCGACAGTCGGATTGAGCAGTCTCAGTGGTGCGACGTGACGTCCGCCAGCAGTGCCGACGGTCCGCTTGGGCCAGCCGTTATGCGCCACAAAGGCTTGCCCGGCCAGCAATACCAGCAGCCAGTTCGATCCGGCTTGCAGTGCCGACACTCAGCTCCAGGCAGTCTCAGTCGTGTGACGCGACGTCAGCCAGCAGTGCTGACAGTCCGTTTGGTGGAGCAGTTTCTGCGTGTTGCTGTGTTAGCAGCGCGTTGCCTACGTTTGTTTCACCCGGGCAGAGTGCCAACTGCAATTTTTAATATGGTTTCTGGTTATGGCAGTGTGCAAACAGTCCGCTAGGTACTCAGTGCCGACTGCCGATGCATCCTCTCACAGTCTTTTTCTGCTGCCCCCGATCATCATATTTGGTTCGAGCAAGAGATTCTCACAGCTGTGGTGATTCTTGCTTCCCGAGCAGGGCCGAATTAAGTGATTCTGCCGACCACGCAGCGCGACCAGAGAGTCGTCGCTTGTGTCGAGCTATGCCTGCGGTCGGATCGGCATGGCGAGTATTTTCTTATTGGCGTTTCGCTTAGGTTCCTAATTGCGTTGATGAAGGTCCATGTGAAAGAATAGTATCGTTACATTGTCCATCATAGCGGGGCTATCAGGGTGCTATGCTCGGGTAGCGGTTCGGCGGCGAATGTTTGCCGTTGATCGGGCTTGCCTATTACTTAGAGGGCGGTCGCGAATCGGTTCGCCTTGCATCTATTTTTGAACACCCCTCGCTACTTGGAGGAGGACGAGGAGGAGGAGGAGGAGGAGGAGGAGGAGGAAGAGGAGAATGCGGGCTGATATAGCGTCCGCGGCAACCGCCTGGAATCCAGGCTGAAGAGTCCGTTGGGCCCCTTTTTTCTGTCAGGTGGCTGCGACGCGCATGCCAATACGCTGGCCTCTGGGCGAGAGAGTCTCGCGTTGCCAGGCGTTGGCCGCCATGTCGATGGAATTGGTTTGCCAACGTGGTGAAGAACCGTCGTGTCCACGGTGGGCAAGAACAAACCCTGGACAAACAAGTGTAACGAGTTCCCCACTGACGTCCCCCAGCCCCTGTCTCGACTCTCATCGGCGGGCAGCGCGCCGTGCAGCGAGGGAGCAGAACGGGGTCGTGCCCAAAAAGGTAAGGCCAGCATTGAACGCACTGGGTTGTGTAAGTCCTGCCCCTATCCCGATGTCCCTTGCTGCACTCTGAGCTCAGAGCAGTGGTTGACAATGCCAGTGGCGCAGGTCACTATGAATCTCCCAGCTTACCCTGTCACTGGCTAGCTGGTGCACCAAAGTCCAAATCTGAAGGTCGGCGTCTAGGAGGCTTCTCTGATTTCGGGTGGGAGGTATATGGAACGGGGTTGATCGTGGAAGATCGGGCGCAGGCTTCAGTCCACAGTGCAGTTTTCGCCATGAGTTGGCAGACCCTGAGAGTCATGGGTTCCCCTCCCTCCCTCCTCCACAGTCCTCTCTCCTCCCCCTTCCTTCTCCCCCCTCGGGGCAGGGTCGGTGGAGACGCTTGGGCATGGGCAGCGCTTTGGGCATGCCCGAAGGTCGGTTGCTGGCCAAGTCGGTTCGCTTTCCTTAGCTCACCCCGCGAAGCAAAAGTCAAGACAGACAAGGGCCCGTCCACAGGATACCACCCACGGGGGCTCCCCACACACGGGGCTTCCCGTAGGGCCCAACTCATTGGGTCAACGCCCTTTCACCATCCACGGGTCACACCCTGTGAGGTCCCACCCAACAGATCACACCAAGAAAAGCACATTCCCGCCCGTGAGGTTGCACCGGTAGGGCGTCATTCGTGGATCCCGTGCACCCCTACGCCTGCAGTAGTGGTACAACTCCTCCTCCTCCTCCTCCTCCTCCTCCTCCTCCTCCTCCTCCTCCCTCCCCCGCTCCGGCCCCCAGAGAGCAACACATGTTCCCAACCGCAGCAAACTATCTGCATTGCGCCCCCTCCCTCCGCGGTCTCCCCCAGAACGTGTCTGTTGTCTCGTCTTTTGCGGCTCGTATGTAATAAAGTCCGGCCCGTGGAGTCTTACTCGCATGTCGCACGCCACAAATTGCATCCCGTTGCAGTGTTCACCAGAAGTTGCACCCCGAGTGTTCACCACGCGGGATGCGCGCCTTTCGTTTCGCCCCGTGTCTTCGGCCAAAGAATCGGCATCCCGTAGGTTGCACCGCATGGGATGCACCGGTTGCATTGCCACCCTATGTTGCACACGCTTCATTGCACCGCCTGAATTACGCCCCAAGTTTTTTGTTGTTTTCAAAAATGAGCGATGTAGGATGAATTGTTTGGAGTTCGCGCGTGGTCATCGTGAGATTCGACCATTGGAGCTTTCATGTCCTTTCCTGCTTGTCAGGACTGTCATGTAACTTCCAGGGAACTCCATTATTTTCCACAGGCACGGTGGTGGATCGCGTGCACGTAGTTAGTCGTTGCATTCGCGTGTTATCACACGGGCTCTAGAAGCATACGAGTGGTATTTGCTCCATTGCCTTAATGTGTTCGTGCTCGTATCCTTTTCTTTGTCCTGCGCCTTGCCCTGAGCCGTTCATCCTGTTTTTTGGTGCTGAGGTGCGAGGGCTGTGGGGATAGCAGAAAGGCTTGGGCCTGGGGGCGATTCGTATTTCAGGCGCCCGGCCTCGGGCGAAAGAGACCGGGCAGGCATGTCGCCCTACGCGGCGCAGCAGGCCTATGCCATCCAGCTGCAGGCTCACCTGCAGGCAAGGGCGGCCGCCGCGGTGGGGCGGGGTGGCGGCTGGGCAGGTCGGCGCCGCTGAAATGCCTCGACCTTCTTGGCGGCCTTGCGATCACGCCCGCACGCGTCGAAGCCGGTTGGAATCTGAAAGCGAGCATCACGGATTTCACAATGTAGGGATGTTGTCGGGTGTGTGTGGGGGGGGGCTCTCGTCAGGGTCGTGGGGAGTTCAACGCGTCTGTGGTCCTAGCCACGTTGCCCCTCCTCTCCCTGCTGTGCTCGTCGCCCGCTGGCCGCCGAGCCCCACCTCTCTCTTCCACAGGCTGGTGCCCCCCTGACCCTCCTCCTCCTCCTCCTCCTCCGCCTCCTTTCTCCTCTCCGTTCCTCCTCCTCCTCCTCCTCCTCCTCCTCCTCCTCCTCTTCCTCCTCCTCCTCCTCTCTCCTCCTCCTCCTCCTCCTCTTCCTCCTCCTCTCTCCTCCTCCTCCTCCTCCTCCTCCTCCTCCTTCTCCTCCTCCTAGTCGGCGTTGGAGGCTCAGCCACTTTGAGAACCGACAGAGTGAGGAGTTGCTGAAACTCTCACACGACGACCGCCCCGCAATCGCACGGGCCACAGAGGGAGCTAGGGGGCATGGCATGGATGGCGATTGCAGCGCTCCCGTTATGGGCGCTGGTGAAGCTTGTATTATGCAATCTTCTTGCGGCGAATGCCACGGACAGGCTGGAAGAAATACGCAGTGCATTACGAGAGCGGGATGTGATTGTACTGGCAGGGACACCAATGGGCTGGACGATGAAGAAGACGAACCACATATATCATACTGCACTTCAATTCGGAGCAAAGAAGGGAAAATGGATCAACAAGTCTTGTGGTACCACGCTCGTGGTTTCCATCGGGATAATGACAAACATGGCCTTCCACACGCAGTACCCACCTCCTGCCCATCTGCAAGGTAGGACGGCAGGGATCAGACTGCGGACGACTGCTTACGACGTCATAATTCCTGTCGCATTTTTACCGCCAGTCAGAGGGTCCAGTAGTAATGGATGGTCTCAGAAAAATATGACATGGGTTGAGGAGAAATGTGACGACACAGGTGGCATGCCGACTATCATTGTGTGTGTGGGTGGGGGGGGGGGGGGGGGACATCAGCAGCCTGTTGGGATTGCACAGGCCAGACAGCAGGGATTTAGTGGTCAGCAGGCATAGTTCGAGCAACCATGCTGCAGCATTGGGGCCAGTGGCCAAGGAGGTGGGGAACGACAGTGGCACAGCATTCAGGGCCTTTTGCGTTTACTGCTTACTGTCAGTGGTCACGACTTCCATTGATTGTGGCCGACGTACTACTGCGTCAAAAACGAGAAGATGACGAACCAAGTAGACCACATAGCAATACTGTCGGGCGCCCTACCCCATGCGCGGAGGTGCGCAGCATTTAGAGGAGTGGCGTAGAGATTGCGTAATATCAAAGCGAGAGGGCACAGAAACCACATCCGTTTGGGGTTGGATGTCGGACTGGAGCATCATTGTCAATTCCCGGGCAAGCACAGGCAGCAAAGAGCAGACAGAGAAGTGGACCGCGACATGCTGATGGAGTGCCTGAGGAACGGTCGCCTGAGGGCGGACTTCCCGCGCGCGTTCGACCGCCACCTGCAGGCCGCCCAGTCGCAGCAGCCAGGAGGAGCAATAGCGAGGCTCTCTCGGAGTTCGACCCAGGCTGTAGGCTGGTCATTCAGGTGATGCATTAGCGAGGTTTTCTCGGAGTGCAACCCAGGAGGACCCTGCCGACGCCCCAGGACAAGCATTAGCGAGGTTTTTTCGTATGGAGAGCATGCGAGAACAACAACTTGAGCGAGGTGCGCAGAGCCAGGGTGGAATGTCAGAGGACTGGGAGAGGACCTCAGAATGCTATTTGATTTTTCAGCGCGGATTTGGTGGAGCACGGAGGAGTGGCTTTCAGTGCCGGGCAAACGCCCCCACGAAATGGAGTTGGCAGCCGAGCCGGTGGACCTGGAAGAGCACTGGAAGGAGCACGACGAAATGGCAGCAGGAAGCATGCCGCTACCACTGCATATGGAGTTGAAAGCACAAGTGAAAAAGGGACCAGAGAGACATGCTGATGCGCTGCAAGAAAGCTGCAAACAGGCGGGCCCCCGCGGGGAGAACCATTAGAACTAACATGGGTGATACTAGCTAGCACTCGCAGTCAACCTGGACGACCCTGAGCAGCTGAGCCAGAAGCTGGACGAGCAAAAAGTACGAGCGGCGAAGAAGCGAGACGACGAGGAAGACTTAGACAAGTACAGCTCGCTTTACGAGCACAGCGTGGGAAGGTCTATATGACAGAAGATGGGTTGGACATCGGGCAGAGCGATGGGCAGGGCAGACAGAGGGTGGGCGACGGTGAAGCACTACGGGCGACAGATTTGAAAGCGCACCACCTAGGGAGATACGAGAAAGTGAGGTTGCGATCTTCGGTGCTGGAGAAAGAAGCAAGCATGGGGCGCCGGGGCGAGCTGGAAGTCATCATTATCAAGCGTCGCCAATCACAAGCTACACCATTGGACTGGCGCAGACCCACTATCTTTCCAGCGGAGAAGGGCGATCAAAAATTAGCCTGGCGAAGGGCCCAACAATATGCAGTTGTGAATGCCGCAAATGTGATTATTATCTTCGCGCGCGCACCCTATGGGGCCACGAACCGCGCGAGGGGGCGCGCCGAAATTCGTGGCGGGGTCCACGCTGCGAACAAAGACGGTCGGCCTGAGCGCGAGAGACTGATCGCGGGTGTGCCTGGGCGCGAGTGAGTCTGATTATGAACGAGTCTGCGCGCGAATCAGTTTGCGCGCGTGAATGCCGACGCCCATGTCGGCGCGCTCCTCGCGAGGATCGCGCCCTCTTCCTTCCTTATATTGTTATGCTTCTTTGCCCGTGCGCACCGACGTCCACGGCTGCGGGCGCGACGCCGCGCGGAGCCCCCGCGACGCGCGCTGGTCGCCCCGGAGGGGTTCCAGCGACGCGCGCGGGTCGCCCGCTGCGCGGAGCAGAGAGATGGCCGGCTGGTAGCGGGCAAGGCCGTGGCCGCTGGGCAGAGCGATGACGGGGGCAAGCGAGGCCCTGGGCAGAGCGCAGCGCCGAATTCCCCCGACGCGCGCCGGTCGCCCCGAGAGGGCCCCACCGACGCGCGCGGGTCGCCCGCGGCACGAGGCCAAAGAGTCGGGCCGTCGAGAGACGGCGAGGCTCGGGCGGGCCGCTCCTCAGGTCAAGCCTCGCGGAGAAACTCGGTGAAGCCCAGCTTCCTGGCGCGGGCCGTCGCCTCCCTTCTGCGCCGCTTCGCGCGCGCCGCAAACTGCCCCGGCTGCTTCCGCAAGCCCTCCGGCGGCCCTGCCGGGAAGAACTCGACGCGCGACGCCCGCGTGGGCAGGAGGTCCTCGCGGCGCGCGGCGCGCGAGAGCAGCGCGTGGAGCTTCAGCCGCCAGTCGTCGCCCTCCTTCTCGCCGTTCCCGACCGCGCGGCGGCCGCGGACCAGGGTCACGCCCGGGCGACGTCGGCCGAGGGGGCAGCGCGCCGGACAGCCGACGGCCCAGGAACGGCGAGAGCCCACGGGGCCGAGAGATGGCCTGGCTGCGGACTGCTCGCGCCCAGCAGTTCTGGCCGTAACCCGGTGGGGTCTTTAGAAAAGGCCCCCCCCCCCCCCCCCCCTGGTTCTCTCTTTCCGGGGAATAAAACTCCGCGCCCCCCCGTCCTCCCCCCCCCCTCCCCCCTCCCCCCCCCTCCCCCCCCCCCCACTGAGGACCCCCGCAAGCTACGACTGGGGACACTCTCGCAAGTAGTAGTAGTAGTAGTAGTAGTAGGAGTAGTAGTAATCGTAGTCGTAGTAGTGGTGGTATTAGTAGTAGTAGTGTTAGTAGTAGTGGTGGTAGTAGTAGTAGTAGTAGTACTAGTAGTAGTAGTGGTGGTAGTAGTAGTAGTAGTAGTCGTAGTCCTCGTAGTCGTAGTAGTAGTTTTAGTGGTAGTAGTAGTAGTAGTAGTAGTAGTAGTAGTAGTAGTAGCAGTAGTAGTAGTAGTAGTGGTCCTAGTAGTAGTAATAGTTGTAGTAGAAGTTGAAGTCGTAGTAGTGGCGGTCGTAGTAGTAGTAGTAGTAGGAGTAGTAGTGGTGGTCGTAGTAGTAGTAGTAGTAGTAGTAGTAGTACTAGTAGAGGTAGTAGTAGTAGTAGTAGTAGTAGTGGTGGTGGTGGTGGTGGTGGTGGTGGTGGTGGTGGTGGTGGTGGTGGTAGTAGTAGTAGTAGTAGTCGTCGTCGTCGTCGTCGTCGTAGTAGTAGTAGTAGTAGTAGTAGTAGTAGTCGTAGTAGTAGTAGTAGTAGTAGTAGAACTAGTAGTGGCCGTAGTGAGCAGTAGTGGATTGGATTCCCGTTATTGTTCGCCGTGCTGGTTGTTGGTGGGTGGTTATCTCTCCTGGAAAAGAACCTCGCGTGGGCTACCATACACGGGGGAGGTTTCCCGAGCCTGTCCGTGCAAGGCGCGTAGTACAAGATCGCTCCGTCTCAGGTCGCTGCTCATGTTCAGTCAGTCCACGTCAACCCAGTCAGTCCCCATCAGTCCCCATCATCCCAAGCAGTCCCCATCTTCCCTATCAGTCCAATTAACGCCAATCAACCGAATCAGTCCCCATCAGTCCAATCTGACCCATCAGTCCAATCAGTCCCTCCCTGCCCGCTCGGCCAGGATTCGATTCCCGAAATTGTTCGCCGTGCTGGGTATTGGTGAGTGGTTCTTTCTCTCGGAAAACAACCCCGCGTGGGCTACCCTGCACGGAGGAGGTTTTCGGAGCCCGTTCGTGCAAGGCACGTAGTACATGATCGTTCCGTCTCGAATCGCTGTTCAGTGTCAGTCAGTCCAAATCAATCCAGTCAGTCCCCATCAGTCCCCGTCATCCCAAGCAGTCCCCATCATTCCAATCAGTCCAATCAATGCCAATCAACCGAATCAGCCCCCATCAGTCCAATCTGACGCGTCAGTCCAATCAGTCCTTCCCTGCCCGCTCGGCCAGGATTCGATGTCCGATATTGTCCGCCGTGCTGGGTATTGGTGGGTGGTTCTTTCTCGTGGAAAACAACCCCGCGTGGGCTACCCTACACGGGGGAGGTTTTTCGGAGCCTGTTCGTGCAAGGCACGGGGTACAAGATCGCTCCGTCTCGAATCGCTGTTCAGCGTCAGTCAGCCCAAATCAATCCAGTCAGCCCCCATCAGTCCCCATCATCCCAAGCAGCCCCCATCATTCCAATCAATCCAATCAATGCCAATCAACCCGATCAGTCCACATCAGTCCAATCTGACCCATCAGTCCAATCAGTCCCTCCCTGCCCGCTCGGCCAGGATTCGATTCCCGTTATTGGTCGCCGTTCTGGGTATTGGTGGGTGGTTCTTTCTCGTGGAAAACAACTCCGCGTGGGCTACCCTACGCGGGGGAGGTTTTCGGAGCCTGTTCGTGCAAGGCGCGTAGTACAAGATCGCTCTGTCCCAGGTCGCTGCTCATGTTCAGTCAGTCCACATCAACCCAGCCAGTCCCCATCAGCCCCCATCACCCCAATCAGTCCCCATCTTCCCAATCAGTCCAATTAACGCCAATCAACCGAATCAGTCCACATCAGTCCAATCCGACCCGTCAGTCCAATCAGTCCCTCCCTGCCCGCTCGGCCAGGATTCGAATCCCGATATTCTTCGCCGTGCTGGGCATTGGTGAGCGGTTCTTTCTCTTGGAAAACAACCGAGGGGGGGGGGCTGCTGAGGGCGGAGCATCTCAGGTTTTCTTTAGGTTGTCCTTCGGTTCCTTTGGTTTTTCTTAGGTTTTCCTTCGGTTGTCCCCAGGTTTTCCTCAGGTTGTCCTTAGGCTTTTCCTTTGGTTTTCTTTAGGTTTTCCTTAGATTTTCCTTAGGTTATCCTTAGGTGTTTCCTTAGGTTTTCCATCGGTTGTCATTGGTTTTCATATGGTTTTCCTTAGGTTGTCCTTAGTTGTTCCTTAGGTTTTCTTTAGGTGTTCCTTGGGTTTTCCTTAGGTTGTCCTTGGGTGTTCCTTCGGTTTTCCTTAGGTGTTCCTTGGGTTTTTTAGGTTTACCATCGGATTTCCTTAGGTTGTCCTTAGGTTTTCTTTAGGTTGTCCTTAGGTTGTCCTCCGGTTTTCTTCAGGTTGTCCTTAGGTTGTTCCTTAGGTGTTCCTTAGTTTTTTTTGTTTTCCGCAGGTGTTCCTTAGGTTTTCCTTAGGTGTTCTTTAGGTTGTCCTTAGGTTTTCCTTAAGTGTTCCTTAGGTTGTCCTTTGGTTTTCCTTAGGTTGTCTTTCGGTTTTCCTAGGTTGTCCTTGCGTTCTCCTCAGGCAGTCGTAAGTTTTCCTTAGGATGGATACATCGAGGATGAAGTTTCTCACGGTCCTCGTGGGTTCCCTCCCTCCCCGTGGGGCCTGAGTTCCACGCGGAAAATAATAGTTCCCATTATTGTTGGGGCCCCAGTCCGTCAATGAGCCCGCGGGACAACTATATATTTGCGCACAATTGGGGGGGGGGGGGGGTCCAAAGACCCTGTGGGGTTAAACAGCTCCAGAGCGCTGCCCCCTCGCCCCGTCGCCTTCGCGCATGGCGCGCCCCTGGCACGCCGCCGCGGCGATGGCCCTGCCGCGCGAGAACGGGAAGCCCGTTCGGGTGACTTTGGAGGTGCGGAAGGTGAACGGCTCCGACGTGCGAGGCTCTATGAACGCCAGCGGGTTTTTGAGGTCCCCCGTGGGGCTGTCGTCGTGGCGCTCGAGGTCGTCGACGAAGGGCGCGCTTGCGTGCAATTCCATATGCGCCCAGAACCCCAGCGGCAATGGGCGGGGCCGCCGTGCCAGCTGCGCCACTGGGACCATAGGTGGAGCTCCCTATGGGGCCACGAAGCGTGCGTGGGGCGTGCCACAATAAGGCGGGGCCTCCATGCGAGCTGCGCCGCTGGGACCATCGGTGGAGCTCCCGATGGGGCCACGAAGCGCGCGTGAGGCGTGCCGAGCTGGGGCGGGTTCGCCATGCGAGCTGCGCCACTAGGACCATAGGTGGAGCTCCCTATGGGGCCGCGAAGCGCGTGATGGGATGTGCCAAAATGCGGCGAGGCCGCCGTGCGAGTTCCGCCACTCGGACCATGGGTGGATCTCCCTATGCGGCCACGAAGCGTTTGAGGAGTGTGCCAAAATGGAGCGAGGCCGCCTGGCGAGTTCCGCCGCTGGGACCATAGGTGGAGCTCCCTATTGGGCCACGAACCGTGCGAGGGGTGTGCCGAAACAGAGAGATGCGGAGAGCAAAAGCAAGGACGAGGAGGGAGGAGGGGGGGCAGCGGGGGGAGGGGACGCGCGGCCCTGTCTCTTCAAAACGATGACCCAACACCACAGGATGGTCAGGAAAAAAGGGATGACGAGAAGCGAGTCGTTGTGTGCATACTGCTCAATGGGCGTGACTTCAAAGGTATCCATTCCAATGGAAAAAACACCGAAGCACCCCTGCCGGACACAGGGTGGCTCAGAAACACATCGAGGGAGACTGCAACTACTTGCGTCGAAGCTACAAAGTGGAGAGCAAGGCAAACTGGAGCGATCACTATCACCAGCAACTGCGCAGACGCATTCGCGAGTACGAAACACTAACTCCTACTGGCATCAGTCTTCGCCACTAACCATTCGCGGTCGAGGCGCTGCGCTGCGCGTCTACGAGTATGGAATGCGCAGACAATTGGGTGCGTGCAAGGACTACGAGAGGAGTTCAAATAGGGTTTACCTTGTGCCCGAGACACTTTAACGATACTTGCAACCTGCACGTGGCGCAGTGGCACCAGGGAGAAAGAGAGCGGGGCGAGATGCAGACAATGCTTGATACAGTGGGCCCCGTCGACGAGCAGGAGCACGACCTCTGGCTCAACGCGCTCGTGGACGACATCGCCAAGATCCACCCGGTGGTCTCGTCGGGCGAGGTAATCCTGGAAAACCAGGTGGGGCTTGGCGAAAGCGAGGGTCTCCCGGCTCGCCCAGGCTTCCAGTCCCAATCGGCCATAGGCGGAAGCGAGGTTATCTCGGATTGCCCGAGAGCCCACGCGGCAAGGATTGCAGAGCAGATCAACGCCACCACACAGCGATAAGAGAGCAAGTTGAAAGAGATGTGGATGAAGCCTGAATCCAGCCAAGACCAAACACCTGGTGGCTCTTCGAGGACCAGGGCGAGATGGGACCACGAGGAAGCTGCATAGAGAGGAGAAGATCAAGGGCACGCCGATGAGGGAGATGAGAGCATTGGGGCCGCACCTACAAGGATACCAAGGATACGCAGGAAGTGAAGGTACGAGGCCAAGCAGCTGGCTCACCGACAGTGCGGGCGTTTATGGTCTTCAGATACTACAGGCAAGATAAAGAAGGATATGCTTCGGGTGTTTGTGGCGGGGGCGGGCCTTAGTGGGCTGGCAGCACTTGACTGGAAGGACGTCGCTTGAAGGCACCCGACAGTACCATGGCGCTCCTTCTGAGAAGGACGACAGGAGGCAGGACGAGCTTGGTGGAAGCTGATGGTTCGACCAGGTACTACGCCAACAAGGAGCTGTTCAGGAGATGGAGGATGCCGCGCTGCTCGACAGCCCTCAGGGTACGCAGGCTACGGTGGTGCAGACCATGGGCGAAACATACAGGGGATGTTGGCAGCGTGCTGGCGGCTGTTCTTGGCGCGCCGAAGTTGGACAGCCTCTGCCAGGTCAGGAGACTCGACAACACGTGGATAAGCGAAGCATCTACACCTTGGGCCGAGCAGGTGGTCAGGGACTTAGAGGCGTTGGCGGAGGTCAGCGAGAACGCGCGGAGCTGGTGCCCGAAGAGGCAGTGAGATATATGAATCGGCGCACCGGGACCCCACAGCAACACCAAGATCCCATTGACAAAGAAAAATCATAGCCTCCGTTGACTGCTGTCGCCCGTGTCTTCGGGCTCGCGTGTCCCGCAGTGATGCGCGCCAGCTCTGAGCGCGCGGGAGCGAGGCGGGCCGATTCTATGTTCCCAGGTGGGCTTTAGGGCTCCCATGGGCCGCGCGAGGCCCGTGGGCCGCGCGAGCCCAGCCAGCCCGATGAACCCCGCGAGCCCCGCAACGGTTTCTTGGGCCGCGCGCGCGTCGCAGCGCGCATGGGCCCAATGCGCCGCGCTGGACTAGCGAGCCGCGCGGGCCCCGTGGACCCTCTGACTCGTCAGGGCCACGTCGGGTGTCTGGGCCTTGCGAATCCCGCGGGCCATGGGTGCCCCATGGGCCCCAGGGGCGCCGCGAGCCAAATGGGGCGCTTTTCTATCATGCAAGCCCCGTGGCCAACAAATTCGGAGAGCTGCGCGAGCCATCTCAAGGTCCCCAGGCTCCTTTGGATCGCTCGGCCCCCACATGGAAAGCGCTTCCAACTTTCCCAGCGGCGTCTTGGCGCTGGCGCCAGCTTTTCGCTCCCTGCAGCGTCAGAAAGCCGACGCCGGCACCGATGCCCCCTCTGGAAAGGCGGCCCCATGGGCGAGCTGAACCCTTCGACGATTTCGGCCGCCCCCTTTCGCGCAGACGCGCAGGGCGGCGCCGCCCCCTTTCGCGGGGTGTAGGCGGTTCGGAATCGCCGGGTGCCGGCCTCGGGCAAATCGAGGGTCGGGGATGCGACGCGGGTGGACAGAGGGCGGGCGTGGGCAGGAGGGGGGGGGGCATATGAGGGGGGCGAGCGGGCGGGGGGAAGCGCGGGGGAGGGCGGCGGTGGGGGGGGGCGAGGCTTCGGTCATGGAGGATGCCGCATTCTCCATATGTTCTCCCTCCTCTCCTGAGAGTGCCCGCCAGTTTCGCTTCTCGCTCGCACTGTTGGTTTCCTGCTCTCCCTCCGACCTGCTTCGCGACGTTTCTTTTCCCCCGCCCTCCCCGGCCGCTCTGCGTTTCCTCGGGCCAGGGCAGGGTCGCGCCGGCCCAAAACACATGTCAAAATTTCGCGGAACAAATGCTTTCTCGGCGCCGGCGTCGGCTTTTCGTTACCCCGCTCAATGTTTAAGAGAGGCACGAGGGGTTTGGGAGGTCGGGCGGGGGCGGACCCCATCATTTTACGCCGCGCGGGAGATGCATGGGACAGAACGTTACCTGAGATTGCGACGGGCGGGGAGGCGGTGATTCAGTTTTGGTGCGATTGGGAAATTAGAACAGAGGGACAGGCGCGCGGGTCACAATTCTCCACGGCGGCAGCGCGGGCAGGGCACAGGAGAGTGGTGAACGACTGTCTTCCTCTGATCCCCAGCCTGGTTGGTGATCATGTCCCTAGTGCATGAGCTCGTTCGCGCCAAGGAAAGTAACGACGGACCACGTAATGAACGCGACGGAGAGTCACGGGGCATGTTACAAAACAGAAGTTGTTGGAATCACCATGCGCGTGAGCCCTTGGGGGCATATCTTCTTTACTTGCCACGTGCAACGAGTGTAGCCCCTGAAGCAAGGGAACAGAAGACGGGTTGAAGGGGGAGGGAGAAGAATGGACCACCAGAAAAATTAGCAGGACGGTGTCTAGGAGCAGAAATGCCGTGGCAGGACCCGACGGGCAGATCGGGAGGGAATACCTGAGCGGGCGGGTCGGGAAGGCGGGCCCGGGTGGCCAGGTCGAGCGGACGGGATGTTAAAGCGTGAGTCTTGCATGAATCGCGGGGATGTGTCGAGCGATAGCGAGAGTCCCAAGTAAATCGTAGGAAAGCCCAAAGCGAGAGCGTGATTCCTGAGTGTCGAGGGCGCGGCATTTGAATCAATTGCGAGGACGTCCAAAGCGAGAGCACGATTCCTGCATACACTGTGAGGAAATCCAGCGCGAGAGCGCGATTCGAAGGAACTGTGAAGAAGCATCCGACGGGAACCGTTGCTGTTGTAGTTCTGGGCCCTGATAAAAGCAGGGTGCGTCACCAGCAGCAGCAAGCACAACAACATCAGCATTAAGAACAACAGTAAGTTCCAATAGTGTTTGATCTTGCCTGATTGCGTGCCATTCAACACGTATATGCCACGTATATTCCAAACCTTTGATACCCGCCTTCTTCGTCATCGATCGTACCCTCTTAAGGGTATGTCTTTCTTACCTGCATCGTGTATTTCGTGCAGCCCCTAAGGCAGGGGAAGAGAGGACGGATGGAGGGATGGGACAAGGGGCAGGCGGGTTGCTGAAGCGCGCGTCCTGCATGAACCGCGGGGAAGTCTCGAGTGATAGCGCTATTCCAAAATACACCGTGAGGAAGTCCACAGCGAGAGCGTGATTTCTGAGTGTCGAGGGCGCGGCGTTTGAACAAATTGCAAGGAAGTCCCACGCGAGAGCGCGAGTCCTGTATGAATTGTGAAGAACTCCCGCGCGAGAGCGCGATTACGAGGAAGCCTCAGGCGGGAGCCGTTGTTGTTTGGACTCGGGGGCCAGGGGGCCAGTTTGGTGACCTTTCATTTACCCATGTTAAAAAAACAGGGTGCGCGCCTGGGAGAACTTTAATTGAACAATGCAACAGTTACCAGACGACGGGGATCAACAGTCGTTTTTTCCTAGAAATGAGAACGAAGCAGCAACAGCAACGACACCACAAACAATAACAACAGCAACAACAACAATCAAATTAATACTGGTCGCTCCTACCTGCTCAGATGCAACATAAGACGTATATTTCAAGCCTTCGGTACCCGTCCTCGTCGTCTTCGATCGTACCCCCTTGGGGGTATATCTTCCTTACCTGCCACGTTCATTTAGTGTAGCCCCTATAGCAAGGGAAGAGAAGACGGGTGGAAGGGGGAGGGAGAAGAAGGGAGCACGAGAGAAATTAGCAAGAGGGGGGCAAGGACCAGAAAACAAGTGATATAACCAGATGAGCAGACTGGGTGGGCAGACCCATAGCGGGCAGGTCGGGAAGGCGGGCCCAGGCGACCAGGTCGAGCAGGCGGGTTGCTGACATTTGTCACGGGAGGGGGGGGTCAACAATAATTATCCTTCAGTCGTGAGAGTTCAACGACAACAAGAGCAACAACAATAACAGCAGCAACAACAACAGCAGCAGTATAAACAACAACAACAACAACAGCAGCAGCAACAACAACAACAACGTAACAATTACAATCCGCACCACGGAGCCCCACTTTAGCCACGCGCCTAGGGACAGTGAATGAGTGAATGACCAATGGGCCCCGTGACTCTGACGTTCTGGCCATTGGGGGTTGGCTTCAACCCCCGGGGCCGCCGAGAAACGATTCAATCGGGAGCCTTGAGACGGGGGTCAATGCAGACGGGGGTTAGCCAGTGCGCGGGATCTTGCAGGATCTTGCAGGGCCAGGGTCGCACTGACCCGGGTTTGGGTGCAGGATCTTGGATCTTGCAGGATCTTTCGTGTTGACTCAGGTTTGGGTGCAGGATCTTGCGGGATCTTGCAGGATTCTGCAGGGCCTGACTGACCCGTGTTTGGATTGACCCGGGTCAGAAGATCCCCGAATCCGAGGCGAGAAGTTGGCCTCCAGGCGCGGGTTGCGACGTGTGGCGGCCCGTACCTCGGAGAGGTCCAGGGCTGGACCTAAACGCTGATTTGCTGGACTTTGGCCGTGTTTTGTTTTTCGTTCTGGGAGGGAGGTACAGGTAAGCAGGGAGAGCAAAACGAAAAACAAAACGAACACGACACCGAAAACAATATATGGGTCCAGCCCTGGGAGAGGTGTGGCGGCCCGTGCCTCGGAGAGGTCCAACTGTCGGATGCCGGAGCTCGGAAGGCCGTGCTATCAAGGCGCCAAGAAAGAAAAGGGTCCTGAGGAGAGCGGGTCACAGACCTCGGGTCTTTCAAGAGGAGGAGGAGGAGGAGGAGGAGGAGCAGGAGGAGGAAAAGGAAGAGGAGGAGGAGGGGGAGGAGGAGGAGGAGGAGGAGGAGGAGGAGGAGGAGGAGGAGGAGGAGGAGGAGGAGTGGCGTGACGGTCCCGGGGCCCGTGGAGGGCCCCAGGGGGCCCGAGTCCGAATCCGGAGAGACCGCTTTTCCGGGACATCTTCTTCTCCGTTTCTCCGTTTCCATCATGCTCGAGTGTTGGAACGGGAGGGGCGGGTTTGGCGGCAAATCATGGGAGGTTGGTCTACCCTTTGAAATCCGTCCTTAGCGTCGATTAGCGTCGATCAGCGTCTGGGAGTCGATGAGATAGCGCCGATTCAGCGTCGGTCAGCGTCGATTCAGCGTCGATCTAGCGTCGACTAGCGTCGCGTCGATTTGGCGTCGACTAGCGTCGACTCGCAAGAGCCGACAAGATGGTATGGGAGGCTTTCGGAGTTGCCGCCGAACCCAGACCCCCGACGTCATGATTTTTCCATGATGCGACCCCCAGAGGTCTGGACCCATTCCTCGGGACCGGTTTCTCATCCTGAGCCGTTTTTTGGCGGTCCCGAGGCCCGGTGAGGGCCCCGAGAGGCCGAAAATGGTGAAAAACCTCCCGTCGTGATTTTTTGCATAACGCGAGGGGGTCTGGGAAGGAGGGGCGGGACCCCGACGGCCCACCGAGACAGGCGGAGGTGGAGCCCGCCCTGCCAGCGAGGCCCCCGGCGATGGCTCTCCTTGGGCCTGGCGCTGGCGCCCCGGGCGGGCTCCGCGGGCCCACCATGTGGGCCCGAGGGTCTCGCCGGCAGAGCTCGGCCAGGGCTTGCTGCCTCTTCTCGGGACGATCGTTCGGCAGCAGTTCCCAGAGAAACGAACAGTGACTCTCGGGAGCCTCGAGACGGGGGTCAATGCAAACGGGGGTCAGCCAGAGCGCCCGATCTTGCAGGATCCTGCAGGGCCAGGGTCGCATTGACCCGGGTTTGGGTGCAGGATCCTGCAGGATCCTGCAGGATCCTTCGCATTGACCCGGGTTTGGGTGCAGGATTTTGCAGGAGCTTGCAGGATCCTGCAGGCTTGACTGACCCGGGTCTGGATTGACCCGGGTCAGAAGATCCCCGAGACTCAGCCACGCGCAGAGGGGGGGCGGGGGGAAGCACTCCTGCTTCTCAGAAGGCGCGGGCCTTCTCTATAGATGTAAGGCCGGCGCATTCTAAGAAGCAGTCTCCTTCTAAGAAGCCCTCCCCCCTCCCTCTACCCCCCTTGCGCGCACCGCCAAATGACATAAACATAATATCTCGGATGTCCGCGCGGATTTCTCGGATCGTCGCTGGGGCCCCCTGGCGGCGCCTCCGGCGCCGCCCCTGGCGCGCTCCGCGCGCCAGGGAGGAGGGTCCAGCGCGGATCCCAGAAATCCGCGCGGAGCTCAGGGTTTTTATGTTCATGTCATTCTTCGTCTCCTTAAGACAGCAGTTCCTGCTCATTTTGGACAGGATTCGCTGTCGGCGTCGCTGGTGACTGCGTCCATCTGAGACAGACGGCCGCCTGCCCAATAGCGGCCGCTGCTGGTTTGTGACAACATCTGTTGTTGGGCATTGTGCGTATTTTCCCGTGCTCTTGCCGGGCGTCCAGATCTTTCGCGCAAGGGTCGGCGGGCCCGACCCGTCCGCGTCCCAGGGCGCTCGCAAAGAACGGCTCGGGATGCGAAACCCTCCGGGCACCGCGTGCTGCAAAAACAGGCATCGGATCTTAGGTAATTTGCAAATCACGGTAGCGCTTCCGCGCGTCTTCAATCGAATGTGTATCGGCGAAAAGCGCCCCACAGCGCCCAGTAGCACCGAGTAGCTTTCAAATAGTGCCCAGTAGCCGCCTCTAGCGCCCAACAGCGCCATGTGAGGGAGACGCATTTGGTCTGGTTTTGCCGCGCGGCTGGGCGCGCTATTGGGCGCCCTGGGGACGATCAAAATCGGCGGCGATCGAGGGGCGGAAGTGAGGAGGAGAAGGCCTGCTCAGAAGGCGGCGGAACGTCTCAGAAGCCTTCGCGCCTTATGAGAAGTGACTTGTGTCTTCGGGGAAGCCTTATAAAACTTCTCAGAAGGCCCGGGGACTTCCGAGCCTTCGGAGAAGGCCCGCCTCTTTCACTTCCCCCCCGGCTCGCCGCCGACAAAAGTTGCGGTGAGTTGTTTTTTCTTCGTTTTCAAATCATGGGAGCCTTGTGTATTCTCGCAATTCCGTCTTTGGAGTGGGCTGGTGCCGATTAGCGTCTGGTAATCAGTCATTTATAGCGTCGACGAGCGTCGGTTAGCATCGATGTAGCATCGATGTAGCATCGACTAGCGTCGATTTGCGTCGTTTCGCAAGGGCCAACAACATCTTATGGAAGGCTCCCATGAGTTGCCGCCGAACCTTCCAAAGGGCCTTTGGCTTAAGTCGGGCAAGTCCCTCTACAGGAGAAATGCCCCCAAGTACTTCAAAAACCGTCTGGGGACGTTGTTTGCACTATGTCGGGCAACTTTATATCGTTGACTGTGTTTGATTTGTCGCCGCAAGTTCGCCTCTAGGAGGACGCGCCCGACTCCACCTTTGGCTGGGAGCTCCTGCCTGCTCCCCCCCGGGCGCCCGGGGCGGCGCGGGGCAGGCCAACGCGGCAGGCGCCGGCGGAGACCCCTCGAAGTTGGCGCCCGAGGCGGCGCCCCGGCTCGGCTCTCTCTCTCTCTCTCTCTCTCTCGGGGGGAGCGCAGGGGGAGCGCAGGGCTCGAGCACGCCTCGAGGGCGGCCAAGAGGGGGGTGAGGACTGTATGGGGGGGTGGATGTCGTGGCGGGGGCCATGAGATCTCCCCAGATTTCACGGCGCCGCTTCCTATTTCAATACGTCCCCGGCCTCCCCCCCTGGGCCGCGCACATGCCGCTGGCCATGACTCGCACACCCCCCTCTTGGACGCCCCCCTCTTGGACGACCCCGAACGCCCGGACTTGGGTTCGCCTCTGCGCTCTGTGACGAGCTCACCCCGGGTTTAGGCGGTCCAGGTGTCGTATATGATGTCTGCAGCGGGAGTTCGCGTCAAGTTTCAGGCCGGGTCTCGGCATATTCCTGACTGCCCCGTCAGGCCAACCCGACTTCCCCGATCCCGAGTCTTACGCGTCCCTTATTATATCTTGTTTGATTGTTGTGTGTACCTTTGACTCTTTCTTTCTCTCTCTCTCTCTCACTGACTCTGACTCTCTCTCTCTCTCTCTCGTACGACTACACGTTACGCGAACTTAGAGTACGCTAATACTGCCCTGTGACCACGCAGGCCACCACGACACTGCTGAAGAAGAGCTTGACGGACCGATTCGGCAGTCCCCCTTCCCCCATCCAGAGTTGGCTCGTGACGGGGCCGCCGTCGCACAACGGGGGCTTCGATGCGGCGTTGGAGTGGGGCCGGGGGAGGAGGCGCCCCCTGAGAGAAAGATGGCCCTAGGGCCAGGCAGTCCCGTGACGAATCCGATGCGACCCCGAATCGTTCCCTGCAACCCATGGCCATGTTCATCAAGTTTCATGATTTTCCAACCTACTGTAGCCTTGATCACCAGGAATAATTCCGAGCACCAAGAAGTATAGAAATTGTTGACGCTTCGCGTATCCCCACCAGCCCATCCAGAAACGATGCTCAGGGGAGTTGAGGTGATCAGGGAAGTCGGGGAGCATGCAGAATAACAAAGGGCGGGGGAAGCTGTCACAGACCCCGAGAGGGGGAGGATGGAAGAGGAGTCGTCGTCGTCGTCGTCGTCGGAGGAGGAGGAGGAGGAGGAGGAGGGGGAAGAGGAGGAGGAGGAGGAGGAGGAGGAGGACGGAGAAGGAGGAAGAATCGGAGGAGGAGGAGGAGGAGGGGAAGGAGCTTCTTGGGGGTCTTTTGAGGGCCTCTTGGAGGGCTTTTTGGGCGCCTTGGGGCATCTTGGGCGCCTCTTGGGACCCTCTTGAGGCGCTCTGGGGAGCCTTCGGGGCGCTTTTGGGGCCATCTTGGAGGGAGTCGATCAAACAAGAGGGGGGGTTTAATTAGCGCCCCCCCTCGGAAGCCCCTAAAATCGCCTCTTGGACCCCTCTTGGAACGCTCTTGGAGTGCTCTTGGGCGCTCTTGGGGCCGTCTTGGGGCTCTTTTGGGGCTCTCTTGGGGCCCTCTTGGGCCATCTTGGAGCCATCTCCAGGCCTCGGATGGCCATCGGAAGCGAAAAGGCGAGAAAGCAAAAATCATTGATTTTCCTTAGGTTTTGGGACGATTTTGGCCTCTTCGGGGCCTCCTTGGGGAGCTGTTTGGCCACTTGGAGTTATCTTGGGGCCGTCTTTGGGCTTCTTGGAACCATCTTAGGAGCCATCGTGAGCGATCTTGCGCTATCTTGAGCCATCTTGGAGCTCATCTTGGGTTCTCTGAGGCGCTCTTGGAGCCGTCTTGGGCCATCTTGGACGCTCTAACTACCCGCGGCCCCCCCCGTCCAGGTCCAGGGGAGGGGGTAGGGGGAGGGGTAAACCCCTCCCCAAGGGGGAAGAGGGAGGGGTGGAAGAGGATCTGTTCTAGACCACCTACGCCCAGAGGGCTGGTGGGACTGAAGGGTTGTCACGTGTCGGGCCCTGGGAGGCGATACTCGTTCGACATTGTTTCGATTCTTTCTGGGTGCTCGAAAGTATTTCTGAGATGTGGTCGTTAATTACGATGGGAACACCATACATCAAGTTTTTCTTCAGGGCTGTGGCAGTTGAGCCAATAGAACGACCAGTGCAGCTAGGTACGTGACGTCGTTGAGCAGGTCGTCAAATTCATCAGAGGGAGTACATGTCAGATGGCGAGGAGGGCAGCTCCCCGCCCTACCTCGCCAATTCGGAGTGCCACTCCTCAGCACTCCCAGTGTTGGAAGAGAGCCACCTGCCACGTCGAGGCAGATCATATGTGTTCATGCCTCCCTGCGCCTTCCCAGATCTCCGACGCCGTGCGTGTCCGAAGCCGGGCCTGGAACTCGTCGACGCCTCCCCGGGGCTGTCCTCCAGCACGGCTGTTGCTGTCCCGCCCTGGGTCCGACAGCGGCTCCAGATGCAGAACGCCACCCAACACAAACATCCGCTGTGATTTTTCCCAGCGCCCGAGGCTTGCGCCTTGGAAGCCCCCGCCCTCTGCACGGAACTTCCCGTGTGAGCCCCCGATTCCCCTCTCGGAGTACCCCTTGCCCTTGTCCGAGGGCCCGTCCCCCTCGGCCCACCCCGTCCGCGCGCCGTTGGCCGTGCCTCCCTCTTCGCCCTCCGCAAGTTCGGAGGTCCACACGGATCTCTCCGATCGGCGCCGTACCCTCCTCCTTGGCACGCTCCGCGCGCCAGGGGCAGCGCCGCCAAAGGGGGGTCCAGCGCGAATCCGAGAAGTCCGCACGGACCTCCGAGTTTTTATGGTAACGTCATTGTTGGCTCCTCCTCTCCCATGGCCGCCGTGCTCCTCGCCCTCCCGGCCGGCCCGCGGCAGGACAAGAAGGCGAGCCTGAGGAAGCAGGCGGGGCGCGGCGGCAGTTGGGGGGGGAGGATCGAGGCTCGAGGCCACGGAGCCGGGGCAGGGCCCACCTCGATCCGATCGATGCGATTCGATGTGGGTTGTGGCCTGCTCCGTTCCGATATTCTGACGATCCTGTGCGGCCCGATGCCATGCTTGCATGGCGCTGCGCATCCTGGCGCGGCCGATCCGGTTCGACTTCGACTCTGTGCTGACGCGGCTCGATTCGATGTATGCTTCGATCCGGTCAGCTTTCCCGATTCGATGCTGACTGGTCCTTGGGGCTGGATGGCTTCTGACATCTTCACAACCTTCCGGGGTCGCGAGGAGGGGCTTCTGATTGCGACGGCTGCATTCCCCCCGAATTCCTTACCGGAGCGCATCCTTGGACAGGTTTGGCGGCCCTTGGGAGGCGATACTCGTTCGACACCATCTCGATATTTTCCTGGGTGGTCGAATTTTTGTTCTGGGATGTGGTCCTTGAGCACGATGGTTGCAACATAAATCTAGGAGGCCTCTCGCCGTCTGTCACCATCCACCATACCACCCCATCCCAACCCGAAGGCCTCGATTTGTTCTCCATTTCCAGTGTGGGGGGGGGGGGGGGTCGGGGAGCAATGAGAAGCTCACACGTGGAACCCGTCCCCCCCCCCCCAATCCGACATTCGGCTCTTCGGGTCGGGTTGGGGTGGCCTGGTAGGTTGGGCAGTCTGAGATTCAGGAGGAAAAGAAACACACAGACACAATCAATCGTCGATTCCCCAGAAAATATAGGAAAATATGGGGGAAGTGGGGGGGAAGACAAAAACCCAGAAAATATAGGAAAATATGGGGAATCCTGTTATCTGTGCGTATTTATTTGTGTGTCCCAGGGCCCCTTCAGAGATGGCGGCCTGGCCGCCGGGCGCGGGCCTGCGATCTCGGCAGGGCTGCGGGGCGAGCCTCCTCGAGAGGCTTTTGGCAGCGCCCCCCTCCCTCCGAGCCACACGGTCGAGGGGCTCGCGGGCGGCTGGGAGCCCGCTTGCCGAGATGGCGCGGTGGCGCTGCCCAGGCCGAGTCGAAGGGCACGCAACTCGGGAGGGAAAAAGCACGCAGGCACGAGGAATCGTTGCCCCCCCGGGGAAGAGCTGGGAATCAGAGGAGGAAGAGGTACCCATACCTCTACCCTTCGCCCGTTTTCCCCGTTTTTGGGCCTCCTGTGAGGCCCTCGTCGCCACCGCTGGATTCGCCTCGAAATCCTGATCAGAACGCACCCCGGGAGAGGTCCGGGGAGTAGCGGTATCGGTACCTTTTGGTGTCCCCAGGGAAAGCATGAAGAGTGGGAGGAGGAAGACGAAGTCCAAAAAGTATGAGACACCCTGGGAACTTGTTGTGTGGATCTGCGCGTAAGTATTATACGTGTGTGTGTGTGTCGCTGCTCCTCTGCAATTACTGCATGAACATGATTATCCGAGCTCCGCGTGGGTTTCTTGGATCGGAGCTGACCCCCCTCCCTGGCGGCGCCTCCGGCGGCGACCCTGGCGCGCTCCGCGCGCCAGGAAAGGGGAAGGTCCAGCGCCGATTCAAGATATCCGTGCAGGCTTCCGAGAAATCATCTTCATGCAGTTCTTGGTTGTATGCTTGTTGATGGCGTTGGCGATGTCCAGGATGATGGGGACTGGCCTCACTGCCTAATTTGTAGGGTTTTGCTGCTGGAGGTGACTGCGTGGCGAGAGCCAAACAGACCCAATGCTTCCAGAACTGGGCCTCTCGCCCACCCAGCCGCCTGCAGGCATCTTCGGGTGACGGTCAACCCCGTCCTCGGTTGTGCGCGCAGCTCTGCACCCTGGGCATGGAGCATGTCGTGCGTGGCAGCACGGGGGGGGGTCACTGCGGATCGCAAGCAGTATTGGACGGGTGTCGCCCAAGCGAGGGGTCATGACCACAATCATTAGTGAGAAGTTGGTGCGGATTTGGGACTCGATTCACGCTGATCGAGCTGGTGTGACAGATGAGCGGGCACAGCCAGAGCTATAGAGCCCGAGTTCGCAGTCATCCAGCCCACGTTGCTGGTTATGGATTACACGTTGCCGGTCCGCCAGTCTTGTTAAAACCAGTCGGCGATTCAAAGGATTTATGTTTCCACGTTTGGAATGGACGCGTGCAGCAAACTGGGCGGCGGTCTACATGGTATTATCATCTCCCGCTGTGGCATGGCTCTGAACACCGACATGCCGCAGTAGCTCGTTCCGACGCCAATTCCGTAAGGTTTGGAGATCCCGAAGGGGCGCCGGACCATCGTTCGTTGGCCGCGGGGGTCTTGAAACGGAGTCTGGTCGGCCAGGGGATCCGCTGCTCAGTTGTCATGGATTCGTGCAGCGTATAGCCGATGCTACAGGCCGTGAGACAAGCAAGGTGCGTGATGGAAAGCATGGGTTCGAGGACCTGGGCATGGTGACTCAATTTCACCTCACCTCGCAAAGGTGTACTTGTCGGATGTGTGCACCGCTTTTGGAGTGGCGCAGAGCAGACAGAGGCTACTTCCCTGACCTGGCCAGCGGGAATTGCTGCGAGCCCAGATGTTTTGAAATGCGTCCACCGATGTTGTTGGCCATGTCTGTCACCGGAGACGATTCCATGACCGCGCTTGGGAGTGCTACGTGCCGTAGGCGCGTCGATGGTGTTCTGATGCTGCTTGTCTAACCCGACTTAGGAAGTCTTTAGTTTTGCCTCCCCCCTCTTTCTTTCGGCGAGGAATGAATTTGCCCCTCGTCGTCGTCGTCGCGGCGGAGATTTGTTTCCTTCTATTCTTGGGCGGGCTGGATAACCTTTGGTGGTTTTTATTCCAGGAACTACTCCAGTGTGGGCTGCCCTACACGCGAGAGGATTTGTGAGTATCTTATCATGAGGATTGCAATGTGAATGTGCATCGTTTTAATTCACCAGCTTTCGTAGTTGGAGTCGTGGTCGTTGTCGCAGTCGTAGTCGTCGTCGTCGTAGTCGTCGTCGTCGTCGTCGTCGTCGTCGTCGTCGTCGTCGTCGTCGTCGTCGTTGTTGCGCGGCGGGTGCCGCGGGTCAATGATACTTGTGCATTATTGGTGGGTTCCCCGTCGGTCAATAAGGTGACAAACAAAAACATAACCAGTTTTCAACGATTGGGGTGATCGAAAGACCTATCGCGGTTAAGCGTGCATGAATGAATACCCCAGTGAGTCGCAACACGGCATGTGCTCCCGGCAGGTGCGATTTCGGCATCCAGTTTGTGATTCACGCGTCGGAAAACAGATTTGAGTGAGCATCTCAGTGATTAGACAAATCAGTGACGAAGAATCCACTCTGAGCGTTCGAGATGCTCCAGGCATCGGAGCGAATGGACAGCAGAGCCGCAGGTTGACTTTTATTTCTCCGTCGACAATCTGTGCAAGGACGTCTACTTGCGGCAGCAGATGGACCAGGTCGGACCCGCGCCCAGCGCCTCGCGTCCTCTGCTCGCCGCTGCTTGCTCTGCTGGCTCTACCTCGGTTCCCTCTGAAGCCTGACGCACCTCGAAGCTTCACATTGCGTTCGTGTTTTGCATCAGCTTTCGATCGCTTAGATTCATTACTGGTACTATTCCTCTCCTTATGCTCGTCTGCCTAGACATACTTACCTTGCCCAATTCGCCCCCCTTCTCGCAACCTCTTCCCTCCAGCGCTCCTTCAGGAGGGCTACTGCAAGCTCGACCTCATCGCAAACTTCAACCTTGTAAAGAGAAAATACAAGGCGCTAGTGGCGGTAGATCGTGAGGTACCGTGGCAGTAGGCAATGAAGAGATGTGTAAAGGGCGACGTGGTGCAGGAGAGACGCTGTTGCATTGGCTGGGCAAGCCGGGACTGTTGCGAGGAAGTGATTTGGCCAAGCTCGCACCAGAGCTGCGGGAGGGATCGTCTGTAGGGAAGGGCCAGCGCGCGTGAGCGATTGGCCGTCGATCGGCGCGGCGGGTTCGGATCGCCGGCGTACCCAATCGAGACCTTCCTCCTCCTCCTCCTCCTCCTCCTCCTCCTCCTCCTCCTCCTCCTCCTCCTCCTCCTCGCTCGACGGCGCGGTCCTGGGATCCGCTGGCAGTCCGCGCAGCCCACGGGCCGCGGCGCCAGCGCCGAGAGGCCCACCCGTCGAGCGTGGAGCGGCGGGTGCTCCAGGGGCGTGCCCGGCGCGGGCTGGGCACGGCCTCGATTGTCGTGGGGGGTGCTCGAGGACGAGAGCGAAAGAAGGACATACATGTATTACCAGCCTGGAACATATCCCTATCCTTATGCTGGGCACCTCCTCATCACGATGCCAATCTTTGGGATCCCCTTATTCTTTGAGGGCGAATCCCTACCATTGTCATCGCCTTTTGGCGTGTCAATCTTAGGGATAGGGATACGTTCGAGGCTGGTAAATGTACATGAGTAGGGGAACAAACAATGACAGAAACATAAAAACTCGGAGGTCCGCGCGGCTTTCTCGGATCGGCGCTGGAGCCCCCTGGCGGCGCCTCCGGCGCTGCCCCTGGCGCCTGGCGCGCTCCGCGCGCCAGGGAGGGGGGCCCAGCGCCGATCCAAGAACTCTGCGCGGGCCTCCGAGTTTTTATGTTTATGTCATTGTTTGTTCATGAGTCCACGCTGGTTACGAGAGTACGCATTGCGCGCGCTTTCGCAGCGCGAGGCTGGCCTCGCAGACAGGGGCGGCCGCATTCGTGGACGTGGCTGGGCGCGTACGTTCTCTTGTGGGCTCACTGAGAGGTGACCCCGTGACCCCCCTGGCCCAAGGTGCTCGACCACGTGTGTGAGAGTGACCTTTCGCCAGGGTGCCCGTCAGCGTGGGCCCAGAGGTGTCCCTCCTGCACTGGCTCGCGCGCTTGGATTTGGCCCCGCGGGGCCCCCTGAAAGCCTTGCGGCCCCTGGGTCCTTCTGGGTCTCCTGAGGTGGTGTTCTGGGGGCCCCAAGCTTAGGCCACCTTGCTAGGGCCGCCTCTGGCAACATGCGACGACGGAGCTTGCTCGGCAGTTCTTGGAGGTTGCCGTGCCGAAAGTCAATGTGTTTGGGCTGACAGCCTAAACGCAATTTTCGAGCTTGGACCGAAGGCCTGGGCCTGAGCCTTGTGAATATCCAGTTCTCCATCCGTCTTGCCAGAGCGCGGGGTGCCCACGTGCGATCTTCGCGCAGGGTGCTGCGATGCCGCGGAGGACCCTGAAATTGATGGAAGCGCTCGCCCACGGAGGTTCAACTCGAAGCATCAGCGGAGGCAGCACAAATCTGAGCACTCGCTTATCGCTTGATTATCACTTCGAAAACTTGTTGGAGGTTTCCCAACTCTCGGGGGATCCGAGGACAGGATCCGAAAACGGGGTTATGAAAGCTGCTGCGTGCAGCTGGTGGCTCCACCACCAGCCGTCCTCGATGCACGGTCCCGCCCAGCACCTCGAGGCGCCGGATAAATGAGCCGTCTGCAGCTGACCTTGAGCCCTCTCCCCCCAAGCGTCCAGCCGTGACAACGGGAATTTCCAGACGTGCCCTGAACTCTCCAGAATTGATGGCGCCAACACCGCCGTCGTCGTCGTCGCGCCACATCCTTCTCCTCGGAAGGCAACGCCCTTTGCGTCGTATCTTCGGGGGACCTCGCCTGTCCCCAAAACGAGGGCCTCTTCTTGTGCCCAGCGCAGGCTCGATGCGGACTCGACGCGCACTCGGCGTGGACTCGACGCGGATTCGACACGGGTTCGACACGGATCCGACGAGGCCGTCATGGTTTCGATGCGGATTCATGCCCCTCGAGGATGCAGCGCAGAATGCCCCTCGCGCCACCGCCGACCCCAGCACAGGCGCTCCAGGCCGAACGCCGGCCGAGGGCCAGAAGCGGTCGGCATCGAACCAGCCGCGCAGTCGGCAGGCCGGGACCGTTGTGGGTTGGACGACTTGCCCACGGACCGGCGGCGAGCGAGGGGGGGGGAATCAGCGAGCAGGGGCGGGCCCCCTCTCAGAATGGCTCGGAGGTCCGCCGGCCGTCTGGGAAGATCCCGAGGCCTCCCCCAGAGACACAAGCAACACTCGGGTATGGCCAGCAGGCCACCTCACAAGAAATTCTGCTATGGATGACTCCATCGGAGGCTCCTAAGGCGCTACAGGCCTCAGAGTGCAGTGAGCTGCTCGACCCTATGAGAGCGAGCTGCTGGATCTCCGCCCCCCCCCCAAAAAAAAAAACTCGGGTATGGCCAGGACCCCGGGTAAGGGGACCCGGTTAGTGGCAGGGCCCCGGAGCCTTCGAGTTGGCCAGAATCGCTAAACCAGGTCTGCCGTAGCTGGTGTTTCTTCGGGTGACGGCAGTTCCGCTTAGTTAGTGGAAATGGGACGGGGGGGCGTCCCCGGTACAGATCACTAAACCAGGTTCCAGTAAACCCAGTTCTACCAACGCTCGAAAAACTTCTCAGAAGGCCGGAGGCTTCTGAGAAGTCCCGCCGCCTTCTGAGAAGGCTTTCTCCTGATTTCCCCCCCCTTGCTTGCCGCCAAACGGAATGTTCGAGTCTTACGCCGGCGTCGTCACGGCTTGATTTTGCCGTCGGTGTTCGCTTACGCGGAAAGCAGGAGTTAGCTGCCCTGATACCCTCGTCTTGAAACGCAACACTTGCCGTGTTCAAAACGTCAGTGTTACACGCTGCGTGTTGGCTCAACGTGTTGGCCCACGTTTTGGCGATCTTTTCGCGCCTGACATACGTTTCAGTCTACGTGTTCAGCTCCGTGTCAACAAGCTACGTGTTGCGTGCTGCGTATCGTGGCAGCTAAGCCCACGGAATGCCAGAATCTTACGCTGGCATCGTTACGGCACGAATTTGCCTGTCGGCTCCTGCCCACGCAGAGAGCAGGATGGGCACGGTTTGGCGAGGGGAGTGGGGGGATCTGCGGCGGAGATCTCTATGTTGGCCGTCTTGCCCAGTGTCCCACAGCAGATCCAGCGGCCCAAGATTTAAACGAGCATGGATCACCAAAGCAGCGGCGTATGCAGAAGCTCCTGTGCCTCCAGGAGGCTTCTCGTGGACACGGCTGGACCCACCTTCAAAATTCTGGCCTAAACGCAACCCAGGGGTCCGCCCGAGGGTCGATTTCTGTGGGAGCAGAGGGTCGAGAAGGAAAAATGACACGACGGTAGAGCGAAACAATGAATGGGGATTCCCCCTACCCCAAAATTCAGAGTTTGCACGCGCTGGAAATGCTGCGGTCGAAGAGCAGTTCATCAGAGCCACCGCCACATTTGATCATGTGGGGAGGGGGGGAGAATCGACAGATCAGAGTGAAGGGGCCGAGCGGTCATTCACTGACCCTGGATGCGTGGCTGAAGTGGGCTTCTGCGGTGCGGATTGTCGTTGAGTTCTCACTCTTGGAGAATGATTGTTGTCCATCCCCCCAATCGGTGCACATTGCGTTCTTTCAATTGCAGTGCCCCCCTCGGGGCTCGCACATTTTTAATTAAGGAAGTCTTCGTGCTCCAATTTGCCCCCTGGCCTTCGAACTACAACAGCAACGAATCCCGCCAGATACTTCCCCACAATGTATTCCAAAATCGCGCTCTCGGACTTCTCACAACGTATTCAGACGCCGTGCCCTCGACACTCAGGAATCACGCCCGCGCTTTGGCGTTTCTCGCGATTCACTTGGGAATCGCGCTATCGCCCGAGAGTTCCTCGCGATTCATTCAGGGTTCACGCCTCAGCAACCCGTCTGCTCGACCTGGCCGCCCGGGCCCGCCTTCCCGACTCGCCCGCTAGGATTTGTCGGCCCGATCTGCCCATCCTGTTTCTACCACGTGCTTTCTGCTCCTAGCCCCCCCTCCTGCTAATTTCTCTCGTGCTCCATCCTTCTCCCTCCCCCTCCATCCGACCTGTCTTCCCCTGTTTGAAGGGGCTGCGCTAAATGCACGTGGCATGCAAGGAAGATATAGCCCCACGGTGGGTACGATCGAAAACGAAGAGGGCGGGTACCGAGGGTCTGGGATACACGTGTTGAATGGCACGCGAGCAGATAGGATCGAACAGTCTTAAAATGATTGTTGGTGTTGATGTTGTTGTTGAGTTCCCACGGTTGGATAATAATTATTGTTGATTCCCCCTACCGGTGCTGATTATTGTTTAATTGAATTGCCCCTCTCGGGGTTTGCACCTTGTCTTTTACCACGGAAAGTCTTCATGCTCAAATTTGGTCCCTGGCCTTCGAAATACAACAACGGCTTCCGCCAGATATTTCCTCATATTTTGGTCAAAAAAACACTCGCGCGGGACGTCCTCAAAATCTATGCAGGAATGTCGCTCTCGCATGGGAGTTCCCCAATACTCAATCACAGACGCTGCACCCTCGACACTCCGGAATCATGCTCTCGCTCTAGCGTTTCTTACGATTTACTTGGGAATCGTGCTCTCGCCCGAGACCTCCTGGCGGTTCATGTAGGATTTACGCTTCAGCAACCCACATGGTCGACCTTGCCGCCTGGGCCCGCCTTCCCGACTCGCCCGCTACGGTCTGCCGTTCCCGATCTGCCCGTCTGGTTCTACCACGTGTTTTCTGCTCCTAGCCCCCCTCCTGTTAATGTCTCTCGTGCTCCATCCTTCATCCGCCTGTTCTTCCCCCCTCTCCGGTACCCATTCTATTTGTTCAACTAAAGTGTTTCTTGCGGGACTCGCACCACGTTTTTCACAAGGGGAAGTGAGGCGTCACCGAACTGTGCCCCTGCCCCTTGGTTTCCAACAGCAACAA